GGACAATGGATCTAAAGAGGCAGAGTTCTAGAAGAAACACAAAGAGCTAACAAACATGAAGAAATGCTGACTCATTAGTTTTTCAGGAAAATGTAAATCACAAGAATGGCACACTTTCTACCTGTTAGATTTGGCAAAGTATTGAAGGCTGGATAAAGCCAAGAGTTGGCAGGAACACAGAGAGAGGCACCGCTGTGGGAGAGAGACAGCAGTCATTCTGGAAGTGGCTAGTTGACTGAAGCACACGCACACTTGGTGTCCTGTCAGCACACTCACAACTCCAGAACCAGATTTGTGTAACGGTGTTCTCCATGGTGCAATTTGTGTAACGGTGTTCTTCATGGTGCAGTTTGTCGTGGGGAGGAACAGAACTTGAAGCAAGGAGCTCTAATGGTTTCAATCAAAGGGCTAGAGATGCACATAGAAGCATGAATAAATCTTAAGGAGCATTAGTAAAACACATGAGGCACAGAGTTCTATTTACAGTAAATCAAATACTCAAAGCCCAAAGGGCAGAATACATCCTGGAATACTTGCAAACAACACGATACACATGAAATTCTTTAGAATGGTTGCAAAAGGGCAAAGGGGAGGAGAAAGACAGATGGCAACAGATAGAAGTTAGCCAGGCTCAAAAAGACAAAGGCCACATGTTTTCTCTCATATGTGGAATATAGACCTACTATAAATACAGCTATATTATGAAAAACAGGTCACATACAAGAGGTGGAGGGTAAAAGAAGGAAGTTCAGAAGGTGAATATGGGTTATGTACTCTTTATATAAGAATTAATACAGAATTTTTAAACCTGTTGAAATCACCATAAAAAGGGGACTAAGGTAGAAAGGAGAAAAATAGAGGGAATGAACCAGTTTGGGTTATAATACATACATACATGGAAATGCCACAATGAAACACCCCGTATAGATATCCTGAACAAACAAAAATGTCATCTTTTTTATCTTTTTTTTTTACAAAATTGGAGAATAGGAGGGCAGAACAGGTCCTGTCTGGGGGGTTGGTACCAGTGGGAGGGGGAGGACGTGAGGAAGGGGATAGGAGGGTGAATATGGTGCAAATACTATGTGTACATGTATGTAAGTGGAAAAATGAGACGTGATGAAACTATTCCCAAATGGGGAGTAGGGGGGATAAAGGAGAATGATGGAGTGAATTCAACTGTGATATATTGTAAGCACTTTCTTAAATGTCACAATGTATCCCCAGTACAACAGTAATAAATTTATAAAAAGGAATAAATGAAACAAGAGAGGGGCAACGATAATAAGCCATGAAGTGAGGAGCTTGATTCAATGAACTTTAATTAACATCTGAGGTTTTTTCATGAAATTTGCTACAGCATGATATTGTATGCTGCCACGTTTCCATGCGACGCCTATGAGATTTAAAACCAGTGTTTTCATCACTTAAGCAAGATAATGCCAGCAACTTACAAAATTACTGAAATTAAATCTACTAATTTGCAAATCTAATTATACCTTTTTTTATAAATACTTAATGAAGTGTATAGTAAAAGACAATTAAGAAAAGGAAACATTTATCAACTCATGCATGGGCTCAATTATTTGGGCCAAATTATTTGGACCTATTTGCTCACTTGTGGTGTATTATCATTGCTAGGCCTTTGTCTCGTTCTCATTTATTCCTTTTTCACATTAAAAGACAGATGTATAAGAAGTGGATGGCACAGCTGCTGTGTTGAGTGCAGGATCAAATAAGCAGCTCAAGGCGGGGGCTTGATGTTGCAAAGGCTTTCTAAACTTTGAAAAAGCCAGCATTTGCAGGATTGGATCAGAGAAAAATTTAGGATTTGGGCAGGGGTACCCACCCAAACAACAAGTGCATATCTTGTTGGGTTATCTGTTGAAGAAATCCACTTTCCTTCCTTGAGACATCTACCTTCAATTCTTCCATCCTACCACCAAGAGAAAAGGAAGAGCCAAAACAAGACCAAGCAAAACAAATAAATTTCTTCCCCTCCAATCTCCCATCCCAAGATCTTCCTTCACTTAGCCAATCTGTCCTCCTGCCTTTGAATGCACTAACAGCCTCCTGCTTCAAAGCCATATCATCATTCTCCACCTCTGCAGTGCATGAAGTAATTTTTTTACACAATGGAAACATTGTTCCCAGTCAAGGAATTTCAAGAGCTGTGAGAGCTATTTAAGGGTATCTTAATCCAAATATCTTTGATTTTCAGAAATCTCAAAGAAATTAAAAAGGAGCTGTGGGAAGAAGGTCAAATGGAGATGGAAAGCAACTCAGGCCACCAATCTGAAGGATAAAATTGCAACGTGTGGGAGGTCCCCGATCCTCACTCTTCGAGATGGTTATTGCATCCACTTCATCGCCATGGAAGATACCAAATAAGTAAACAGGTTATTTCTGTAATGTTCTAGTAAAAAAATTTTCTCCGTTCTTTAAAAGCTTTTAAGAGCCAAAAAATTTTCTCCGTCCTTTAACATGAGTTCATAAACAGGGAGGCCACAGACTTTAAAGAATCAGCAATTTGATAGTCTATTTGTAAAGGGAAGGAAAACAAATCCTTCCAATTAGATTTGTCTTGAAAAATGTCTCTTTTCAGTTGTGAACAATGACCAATCTTTTGTTTAGTCTGGTTGGCAGGAAGGTAAAAACTAAAGTCTAGCTGGGCACAGCAGCTAATACCTGAAATCCCAGCTGCTGGAAAGATAAGATTGGGAGGATTGTGGTTTTAGGCCAGCCTCAGCTAAAAGTTAATGATATTCCATCTCAATAAAACAAGCCAGATGTGGTGTTGTACTTCTGTAATCCCAGCTAGCTACACAGGAGGCATAGGTAGGAGGATTGTGGTTTAAGGTTGTCCCTGGGCAAAAATGTGATACCCTATCTGAAAAATAACTAAAGTAGAAAAAAAAAAAAAAAGGCTGGGGATGTGCCTCAAGTAGTAGAGGACTTGCCTGGCAAGTGCAAGGTCTTGAGTTCAAACCCAAGTAGCAAAGTAACACCTCCCCACAATACGTTCAGTTCCATGTTCTCTTTTGAGGCAAAGGCCCCTGTATGGCCCTTTGCAGGATCCATCCTAGGATTAAGGCACATCTGAGAGACAAGCCATGAAGACTACAGCTCTTACGAGAGCCAAAATGTTTTGAGAAGGAACGAAGAGTGTACAAACTGGCTCAAAGATGCAGCCTCAACAAAAGAGAAAAGTCTCAGCTTCGACTGTCCCTCGGGGGTGACCTCTGGTCCCATGGACTTAACCCCTGAGTTTCAGTGCTGGGGTCAGTGCTGATAGTCCAGCTTTACCACTCCTGGGCTCCAATGAGTTTTGGTGGCACATGCATTGCAGGAAAAGAGGGAAAATAGAATTGTAAAATTTTAAGGCACTTATAAAAGAACTTCATTTTTAGTATACTGAAAATCAGGGTTTTTTTTTTTTTGAGAAAAGCAATTTACACATAATTTAATAATATACCTTTCCAAAGTGACTTTTTAAGAATATAAAAGATATTTTAAAACAAATATACTTCTGTCACATGATTTTAATTTATTTCTTTGCTTTCTTTCAGATTTGATGAGTCAGTGTCTTGCTATGTAGCTCAGGCTAGCCTGAAACTTGGAATCTTCCTGCCTCAACCTCCTGAGTGCTGGGATTTTAGGTGTGCACCACCACTCCCAGCATGATTGTAGTTTCTAAAAAGTTGCATCACTAAATTTGGGATACCTTTTAGTAGTCTTGTCTTTTTTTTTTGTCAAAGAACAAATATAGAATTACATTATCTTAAATGACCTTGTGTTTCAAAGTCTCATTGGAAATTGTAAAGCGATATTTAAAGTATATACCTTTATCCAGAATTCTGCATTATGCATGATGTTGGAACGAATGCTTTACAAAACATGTTAAAATATGCCTACCCCCTAATAAAACTGAGGTGATCAAATACTTTGCTCTATTAATACCAAATAAATATAATAGAAGAAAAATAAAATCAAATATTTACATCATGTGTACTCACTAGTAAAATATGTTTATGGCAAAGAGTTGGAGTTATATTCATGTGGATTAAGGTGGAAAATAGAATTGGGACAGAAGAGTTATAGCTTCTACACTTTGTAGTTTGGACATGTTTCCTAAGGAGGTCAACCTACATAATTAGCAACAGAAATTTGTTTCTGGGGCTATGTTGAGTTCTGAGGTAGTAAGGATCCTTACAGAATCTCTGACAACTAAGACCTGATGGCCTCCCCATGGTGTAGGAAGAATCACCAGGCTTTGCTTGGCCCTCAGCCTAAAGCTCCTCACAGCCATAGCCGGCTTGGGATAGAAAGACATCTGCATCAGTGGGTGGGAGAAGCCAGTACGGAGCTCTCTATCCACACATAAGGACTGCTGCCTGTTTGAAGCCCTGAGACTGGAGGCCACGTAAGCACTGTAATATGTGCATTTAAAAAGCTCTGGGCTGGCAGTATAGCTCATCATGAAAGAGCTTGCCTAGCACTTGCAAGACCCTGAGTTCTACCGCCAGCAGTGGGAAAGAAGGAAGGAAGGGAGGAAGGGAGGAAGGGAGGAAGGGAGGAATGGAGGGAGGGAGGAAGGGAGGGAGGAAGGGAGGGAGGGAGGAAGGGAGGGAGGAAGGAAAGCTGACTCTGTAGCAGTACATCAAGAACTCAAAAAAAAAAAAAAAAGAACATAGGTTCACTATGGAATGAAAGGAAGGGAAATAATTCAAGGACCCAGAACTTAAGGATTTTCCAGGTTCTTTGAAGGCTGTGAAAAAACGACCCTGAGCTGTTCAATGACATTCTTGTCTCAAACTGTTTATGGAAGCTGTCTTTTGGAAACATCACCCACATTATTTGCCATGCAAACCATTGCTTTTACTGGTTCCTGACCACACCTCAGAATTTAAGCTATCTTATTTTGTTTTTAATAATTTTAAGTGCTATTTTTATTAACCCTTAGTCGATCCGTCAAAGTCGTTGGAACATTTAAGACTTACTTTTATCTGGAGAATTTTAACTTCATCAAGTCTATTATCAACAGGAGGTTTCCTTGTCTGGCCTCTTCGGTGTCCAAATTTGCACTTATTTCTCATAACTTGTTCATCATCTTCTATGGGTCTTCGAACATATTTAAAGCGATCTTTGAGGGCTCGTTTCCATAAAAACTACATAAAACAGAAACAGTCCAATTAATCTTTAAGGAGATTAAAACAATGCTATATAAACAAGAAAATCTTCACTTGTCTATTATCCTTGGGCTTGAAATTATTTTCATATCACAGTTACAGAAGTAATAAATCTGCTTATCCTTACAACAATCTTGTGACATTGTGGATTATACAAATTATAATCCTAAATTATAGCTAAGGAAAAGGAGTCAGAGCAATGAACTCTATTTCCTCATGAGCAAATGGGAATGCCACTGAGATAGCTTTAGTCAAGGGTTTGGCATCTAGTAGTCACCATTACTGGTTTCATAGTACAAGTCCTGATCGGAGTTATTTCCTGCCCTTCAGTGGCCTAAATTGGGAAGGCCCAGGCTCTAGAACTAATTCTAGTGACTCTCAACAAGTAACCCCTTTAGCCTTAGTTTCCTTCAACTATCAAATGGAATAATACAATCTGTCTTATCAACTGCACTGGGTTTTGAAGAGTCAAATGAAGGAAGATATTTATTTATAAGCTCAAGTGCTGTTCATAAAGCTGGCAAGGAATGCTGCAGGTGAAAGCTGGATTTGGCTTCCATGCTGATTAAGCTCCTGGGAACGTGTGACTCAGAAATGCTTCATCACCTCCCACAGGCCCGTGGACTTTGTCATTGCTGTTTTACAACAGCACAGAAATAATAGATGGCTTACATTTGTCCTAGCCTTGAAACATGAACTCTTACAAATGCATTTGTTTCTTGTGTTTCCTATAGCCCTGAAGGGCCTCTAGCCCTCCTGAGCCTTGTGGGAGCTGTTATGGCTATCATCAACTAGGACACTACTAAATTACCAGCTGCTTCTGCCTTGCCCCTCCCACCTCTCTTTATTAACTGTTAGGAACAATAACAGCAAAAAGGACCAACCAAATACAATCTTCTGCATGAATATTCAATCGATGAGGGTTTACTAAGCACTTGCTGTATGCCTGGTACTGTGAATTACTCATGCATTTGCCTTAGGTATACAAACTTATTAGAACATATTTGTTTTATAGAATAATCATCCTCTTCCCCATACTTTTCCAGCTAAAGAAGATATTCATGAAAAACCTATCACATCTAGCTCTCCTAATCACTATGAAATTTTTTTTCTTTAAAGTAGCCCTGATATTATGGCCTCCTGTACACATGAAGCAATCCATGGTATCATGAGCAGATCTTTGCCCACTGTTTTAAACCCAAATCATTAACCCATAGTAATCATGAAGAAACATTCAGACAAATGAAGAGTGTGGACAATCTTATATGATAACTGGGCTAGACTTGACCAAAAAGTAAATATCAGGAAAAACAAAACAGGGCAAAGAGACTGTGCCAGACAGAAACTGAAGAGACATAATAACCAAATGCAATGCATAATCCATGATTAGGATTTATAGGAAGAAAGGAAGGGAGGAAAGAAGGAAGGAAGGAAGGAAGGAAGGAAGGAAGGAAGGAAGGAAGGAAGGGGACTTCAATGATTTTACATTCACAAATACTGGCACTCATTTTTTTTGTTTAAATTGGAACTAAGTGCAGCAAAAATACATTTTCAGAAAGATACTTGAGGTGGTAAGATATAAGAAGACAGCTATCTTATTTAATCATACCAATGTGTATGCAGATGGAAAATAGAGATATAGGGAATAATAGTATATCTTTATGTACTCATAGTTTCCCACAATTGTTCCTTAAATCATATAGTTCTAATGTTGTGAACACTCAAATTATAACCTTAAGTATTTTAAGTGTATAGCACAATGGTGTTATATACATTCAGTAGTTGTACAGTGAAGAGCTTAGTCTTTTAAACTCAAAAGACAGGAAGGTACCAACAGCTAAGTTTACATTGAGCAGCAGTTCTCAGCCCCGATGTATCCCAGAATCATTTTGGAAACTCTTAAAACTACTAGTGCCAGGGCTCCATCCTCAGATCCATTAAAGCAGAATTTCAGGTATCCTAATGTGCACCCAGAGCTTAGAGCTGCCGGCCAGAACATCTGTAGGATCCACTGTGATCAGGGCAGTAGAGATGGGAGAAGGACCTCAAAGGGTATAATCGGAGGTCAAGAAACCCTTAACAGATGACAGCCAAGATAGAGGAGCATCATGGGCTTTTCCTTCTGTACACTGCATCTCCTAAAAACCCTTCCTGGAGACTAACCATGACACATGGACTCCCAAACTGCTTTAACGAGAATACACAACGGAACAGACAAAGACAAAGGAATACAAGGTAAAAGAGTTATAGAGGGTATCACAAAGAGTCGAGAGAGAAAGAGAGGAGAGAGGAGAGCAGATGGGAAGAGAGGGGAGAGAGAGAATGTAAAGAAAGAAGCAGGGACTGATAATGAAGAGACAGAGACAGACCCAAAGGGAAAACACTCAGCCCAAATGGACAGTGCTAAGCCATTATTTTTAAGATGGACTGAGATTACCAGGATGTTGGGCCCACATGATCACTTACAAAGCCACAGCCGTCCTCATCCAGGAAAGGGTGGGCCTGCAGCAGAGCATGGATCACATCATTGTACTGCTGGGTAGTAGGATACCTGTTTGTCACAAGGAAGATTTATTTCACTTCGAGGAGCCCACATTCAAGATGAGTCTAAATTATGCTCACTTTTTTCCAAGTCTTTCTATATAACCAAATAGATATTCAAATATTGGGCATATTGGACTTCTATCCACTATGTCATCCAAGATCTGAAGGGACTCGATTCCAAATGAATGTACTCCGCTCCAAAAACAGCAAGTCTTAGTACTCACAGCGAGCCTTCCAGGTACTTCGTCATGTCAGCCTGGAGAAACTCAATGACCCTTATCCTCATGCTGTGATCGGGACACTTCTGCTCTGCTAACATGCATTTCACATCATAGGGAAACTCTGGCAAAACGTAGGACTTGGTCCATTGTAATGCTTTATTCCTTGCTAGAACGTGTTTCACGTTTCTTCTGCAAAATAAAAACAAATGAAGAGCAAAATTCTTTTTCAAGTATATATGCAATTCATTAGTTCTTTCCACCTTAAGAATTTATGGCATAAACCACTTTCCTGAGGTCTAAATATATGAAGTCATCAATCCATCCTCCATCCATTTATTTAACTGCAAATGTCTGAAGGCTTATTAGATGTCCCTGTTCTCTTTCCCTTTGCACACAAATATACTAGTATCTTGAAAAAAGTGTCATTATAAAATAGATTTTAGGCTGAGCGCTGGTGGCTCTCTCCTATAATCCTAGCTACTTAGGAGGCAGAGATCGGGAGGATCGGGATTCAAAGACAGCCAGGCAAGTATTTTGCAAGACCCTATCTTGAAAATCCCATCAGGCAAAAAAAAAAAAAAAAAAAAGGCTGGTGGAGTGGCTTAAGGTGTAGGCCCCGAGTTCAAACCCCAGTACACCCCCTACACACACACAAAATAGATTTTAGAATAAAGCCTGAAGTTGGAAAAAATGTTAACCGATGTTATCTTAAAAATGTAATACATAATGCAAAGCTCAAAACTGAACAAGATAGCTAACAGAAAACAAGAAATTGCAATTCTGCAAAGCAATAAAACTTACAGTAAATTAGTCTTGGTACCTAAATAAGGAAAATTTTCTAATCTATTTTTCTGCTGTTTATAGTGAAATACAATAAACACCTAATGTAGTTTGTCACTGGCTATTTTAATAAGGTAAGTTTAGTCTCTAAATTAAAAATAGTTATCAGATATGCTGATTCAACTCATTGAAATTTCTAAACAAGTGAAAGAAAACTGTAATATAAGCAGCTTAGCAGCCAAAATGGACTCTGAAGGTTGTTGCACAAAAATTATTAACCACAAATTTACTCAAATTAACTGAACACATTACATGGGTGAATTTTATATCATACAGATTGAACATCAATAAAGTTATTTGTAAAATTAAGCATCAGAATCACTTTAAAACTTTAAACTTGGCTGATGTTGAGTATGTGAAAAGACTCTTAAGTAACATTTACAAGCAACCATTAATCAAAGGCATGTGGTGATGTCTTTCACTAACAGGATTAACTGAGATGCAAGTGAAGGAAGAGTGGCAGGCCAAGTACAAGACAACAGAGGTATTTCCTGAATTACCCTAAGTAGATTAATTTTTTGACATGATGGAGTTCTTAGTAGTTCAAACAAAATTCAAATGAGTTTTCAAAGTCCAAACTTCTTTTAGCATTTTAGGTCATCCTTTAGAAGAATATGAGAGCTATAGTGGAAGACAAGGAATAAAGCAAGCAGGAGAAAGTACTTTCATTTCTCTTTATGATAAGCTCCCTTGCCTTCCCCCCTTTGGCAGTCACTGTATCAGCAGTGGAAAAATGTCCTGGCTACAATGAGCTCACTGTTAATTGAATACTGAATTTAATATAGCAACAGACAATTCTCAGACATATATCTCTCTTCAGCCCAAACTATTTCCCAGCATAGCTCTGTCTCATTATATCCGTTCCTTCAACCAGTACTTATTGGGAATCAGGTATATGCCAGCTACTCTTGTCCAATCCCTATTTTCTTCTATAATCTATTGTCATGTTTCTTCCACAGACACATTATCTCTTCCTTATCTACTGAGACCAAGGGTTACAAGGGAAAGGCAAGTTTTGTTGGCTGTGTTTTGTGCCTTCCCAGGGTTTTAAGAAGGCAATGTGACTAGGCAGATGTCAAACATAGTTTCAGTATATTTTAGTATGTTTTAGCACCTATCCCCTTTTCCCTGGTGAATTTCAAGTTAGCTACATGTTCCAGGCTACAGGCTTTTGAGGTTTCTTTCATTTACATCACACCACATCAACAGATAATTTCAAAATCCTAATGCTGTAAAATTGGGTTTCATTCAATTTTTTGCCTTTCTGTTGTACATATGTTAACATATATCTTTTCTCCATTGGGGTAGAGACCATAATACATGGAGTTTTTTCTATGAAATACCCAGAATGTAATAGGTACACAAGATCTATTGAAGATGGATACTCCATCATGCTCTAACGAGTAATTAGGCAAGGTTAGAGGTACCAATTTTTCCTTTTCTTTACATTAAGACAATATTGCAGATATTCTGGAAGTGACTATAATCCAAACTATGCTAGCTAGTACAAGTTGAAATGAGAATTACACAAGAAAAGCAACTCATTAGAAATTAAAAATACATTCTAATTTGAAAGCAAGTAACTGCCAGCACAAATATTTCCCACCTGTAAAACTATCTTTGCATTGGAATAAAAAAAAACTTTACTGGGATGTTAAAATTATTCATAAGACTTTAGTAAGCAAGAGTTGGGTAGAGCACCAGCAGAAGTCATCCTAAAATTAAGTGCAAGGACACAAAGGACTCCCTAATTAGGAATACATTAATATTTCTGTTCTTACTTAAGAGTCAAGGCTCACTGATGAAATTACCACCACAAACAACAAATCTCTAATTCAATGGATTTCAATCCTTGGTGCATATAAAATCAACCAGAAAGATTCAAAAGCATGTTATTGCCTAGGACTGATCCCAGTCGAAGTGAATCAGAGTCTACTGTTTATTAAATACTTGGTTCAGATGAGTAATAAAGAAGTTTATATTTGTAATAAAATAAAATATAATAATGTTAAGCCAACAGTTTCACAGTTTGGTGATCTCGTTATTACAGTTAAAATTTTTTACTGAGTTTTGGCAGATGACAACTGTATATATTAATGGATACAAAGTGATACTGTGGTACTATACTACAGTATATGTATGTGTGTATATATATATATATCTCCAATGTGCCATCATTAAATCAAGCTATCACCTCAAATTCTAATCATTTATTTCTCCAGTCTAATTGAGACACTGTACCTTTTGATTATGCAATATTTCTTAAAATGATGACTCATTCTTGTTAAATAGCTTATCATTGACTCTCCAACTTGACTAACTACAATAAGAATAAAAAATCATTCACTTCCTCCACAGACAGTATGGCCCAGTGGGGTTCACATGGGATAAGGAAGATGGTCCTGATAGAACAGGTTCGGTTGAGTACCTGCTTTCTAAGGAAAAATCTGAACAGAAGATTGAGCATTGGTAGGGAGTAGAAGAGACAGACAACTATTTCTTTATATAGTGTGTGTAGTGCTACTTAGCAGAGTTGATGCACAGTGATTTTTGTTGAAAGAATGGAGAGGTAAACTGAAAGGAATAGTTGTCTAAGCAGAGTATGATTTGCTCTGGCAAAACTTTGGGCATTTCAGTAGTTCCTTATCACATTCACTACTCCAATAATCTAACTCCCTATTTAAACTCCAAAAATGTCCTCCAGATCACCCTCATCCTGCTATTCCTTAACTTTGTTATTTGAACCTCTTCCCCATCACTTTACTGAGGCTGCTTCCCCACAGGTCAGTGATTTCCTAATTTGCAAGTCAAGGGCCTCTTGACTTTGGCCTTTTCCAAGACTTTCCATACTGCACTTAGCAATGTTAGATCTCATCACAGACTGAATTGGTCAACACTGTGATCTCCGACTTACAGACTCTACACTGTGGAAAAATAAATTTCTCTTATTTAAGCCACCCAGTCTATGATATTTTGCTATGGCTGACTAGAATAGCATTCTAATTTCCTTGTTTCTTTTACTGTACCCCTTTCTCTTAGCAATTGAAGCTTAGTACCTTGACACCTTTTATCTTCATTCCTTACTCTTAGGTGTGAGGAAAATTTCTCTTTTTATCTCTTGTATTTGTCTACTTCTCACTATGGTTCATGCATCTACACTAATCCACGGATTCACCCCATAACTTTAAGAGTCTAAAACAGAGTTCTGCTTCTGGAATAACCTAGTAAGCTCACACTATACTGGTTCTTCCACAAACATTAACCATAAACACTGACAAAATGATTAAAAACTTAACTGAAAACGCTAAAGAGCAGAAAAAGTAAGTAGAGTCTAAACTGAAGATTACACTTGGAAGAGGAAGATATTGGGTGAATTTTCCTTTTTATGGTGTTAGGTCTGAGGGCAGGCCTCAAGTGGTGGGGCTAAAACTCAAATAGAAAATCTGGAGTCTTTCTGGACTACAGAACAAGTGGACAGTGTTTAAAGTAACCACATCTGTGAACAAGGAGAGGAGCATCCCAGAAAAGAAAGTGCTAATGAAGAGAAGCTCTAAATTCTACATACAAACTGTCAGATCTGAATAATCCTGAAATAAGCAAGTGAATAGCCCAATTAAAGGTAAAAGAACTAACTAAACAAATTTAAACTGACACCAATAGACAGAGGGTTTTTGTCTGTTTGTTTGCTTATTAAGTCCAAATAAATTTGTTGCTAACTAAAACATACAACACTTTTTGGATGAATAGAACAGATTCAAATATCTCTATGTTGTAACATTTACAATGTGAAGTACACAATCTAAAATTATATAACAAAAAGGAAAAATGTGACCAATTTTCTAGAGTAAAGATGATTAATAGTGCTTGAAGCTGAGATATCCTGATTTTGGTGTTTTAAAACAGCAGGTTTTAGCAGAGAAATATAAATTACTAAAAGGAATCACAAAGAAGTTTAGAAGATAAAAATACAAAATTTGAAGTTAAAAAATGTACTAGCTGGAATTAGCAGCAGAATGTAGCAAAAAAAAAAAAAGGAGTGGGTTTTGAAAATGGATCAGAAGAAACGACTTAAAATGCAAAATAAGTTGAAAAAAAGATTTTAGGTTCTAGGCCCTAATTTCTGGTCTGATTGAATAATGGTGGTATGTTTTGTCAACTCAGAGCTGACTATTGAGAGGTATGACTGGTTACAACACTCAGACGTCATCCTTCTCTCATTAGAGAATACTTCAAAACCTATATCAAACAAACTGGAAAATCTACAAAGAATGGATAGTTTTCTAGACGAATTTGACCAACCAAAATTAAACTGAGAAGATATAAACCACTTACATAGATCGGTAACAGGC